ATTATAGCCGGCACACCTTTATTAGACTAAAATAATTTTATTATATAAATGAATCAATCATAAATTTAATTAACAGTAATTCCTTTTTAATTGTTGCAACTGCAAGCTGTGAAAGAGCATTTTCAGTTATGAAGATAATCAAGAACGAACTTCGAAATCGGTTGAGTGACCAATTTATAAATGTTGTTTAGTTGTGTATATTCGGGGGAAAAAAATTGCTTTGCAGCATATGCATGACTGATGAATGTATTTTAGAGACATTTCAGTAGATGAAAAGTCGTCTTGATTCATAGCAAACGTGACATTTTTTTAACTTTATGAATTAATTTCTAATTATTTTTAATTATTATCTTATTTTATCAGCTACACACCTCTCCTATAATTCTGAGTCCGCCACTGTCCGATGGTATGATACGATTTAACAAATATTGCTCAAAAATCAAATTCGGGAATCAAGAGATCCCACTCTTTCCTTTTCCTTTGTGGTTCTTTGATCACCATTGTGAATTGCATTTGATGTCTACAACCGAACTAGGTTTAAGAATTTAAACTAATTTCATCTCGTAAACATAGTTTAGTAGAGAACCTTTTCCACTTTTACTTCAATTCTTTAATTCCTGGTAAATGTCACATTTGGTCACTGGGATTACTAAATCGTGTCATATTTAGTCACTAAAAAAATTTAATACCAATTTTGGTCACTCGAATTACTGAAACATGTCACATTTAGTCACTCTCTCATTAGCCTCCGTACAACTCCGGTCACTCGAATTACCGAAACGTGTCACATTTAGACACTTGAAATACTGTAACAGGTCATATTTAGTCACTCTCTCGTTGGTTTTCGTCTAACTCCATTAATGACGTTGGACGGAAACTAACGTGAGAGTGACTAAATGTAACTTGTTTCAGTAATTCGAGTGACCAAAATTGATATTAAAATTTTCTAGTAACTAAACATGACACGATTTAGTAATCTCAGTGACCAAATGTGACCAAAATGAACCAAATGACACGATTTGGTTCATTTTAGCCCGAAATTATGGAAAGAGTCATTATATTGTACTTGTCCTGATAAATTATATCAAATCTCGTCTAACATATGAGTAATAACATATAACATTACACCAAAGTAACATGTCGTACTTAGATCCAATTTATAGTGAAAATTCACACACACTTATATAACATCAATATTCAAATTTTCAACTACGGATTCCAAATATTGAGTTAGGCGAAAAGAAAATCGAAAAATAGGCGCATTTCGCAAACAAAAAAAAATTGTCACAATTTAATCTCCAACCCAATATCTTGTAGCAGTCGACTCGACTAATACATACAACCCATTTTTCACACCGATCATAGTCAAAGTGGATCGACCGCGGGTCGACAACCTTAGTGTGGAGTTTTGGACATGGGAGACTGGGGAGAGTAGCAAGCTGGCACAGAACTTTGACCAGAATGTGAAGCAAACCTTACCTTGCTTCCTCGAGAAGAAAAAGAGTGGATGCCAATTGCGATGGGTATGACATCATGACGACTTCACAATAGTGAAGTGTTGAGAAATAGGACATCAGTGGAGGAGACAATGTCTGAAAAAGGCAAAGTTAAAGAACCAAGAAAAGAAATGAAGGGGGTAAAGGAAAAGTTTGCATCGATAAACCAAAGATGTTGTGAATCACTTATCTTTTATATTAGCAAAATACACATGATAATTTTTTTTTAAACAACAAAATAGAAAATACACATGATAGTTTATAAGTATAAGTGGCAGATCCAGAACTTTTGAATAAGTGTGTTGGGCAGAAAAATAACATTATAAATTATAATTAATTAATAAGCTCATTAAAATGTGTTTATAAAATTCACAATGTCATTGTTTTTAGAATGAACCACTAATGTTTTCCATATCCTTAAAGATTTGTGAAATAAATTCACCGTTTATGTTGTGAATCAAACTTTTTACGATATAAATAAGTAAACAAAAATTCATAAATTGGTCATTCGATCGATTTTGAAGATCGTTTTTATTAACTTCATAGCTGAAAATGCTCCTTTGTAGCTGGCAGTTACAATAAGGCAACACTAACTTCGAAAACAAGTAAACTGATAAATAATAAGCTCATCGATTCGTCACAATCTATCAAATGTATTTTTAAATATGAGCATGAGCATTGGGTTGTAGAAACAACTTCCTTTATAAAAGATAAAGGGTTGTAGCACAGGAATTTAACCCATTGGATAAGTCTAGGGATAATGCTCTAGGGTCCTAGTTATTTACATGGCCATTGGCATAACGTAGGTACCTAGAAGAGTGATTGAGTCCATAACATAGTTATTCACTAGTCTAGGATATTTCTCACAACCTAGAAGATAGGGAAGTTTTGTTAAGACTTGCTTGATTGCATCAATCACATATCGTTCTACCACTAGAAGAATTCAAACCTAAGTATTTGTTCATCTATTGTTGTTTGTTGCCATATTTGTTCATATACTCAAACGACTTTGCTCTTTGAAATCTTTCATTCAAAAACGTTAGCTTAACAAGGAAAGACAAATATGCATATAGATGGTAAATTTATGAGCTATCCTTGCAGCTCGATTAAAAAGAGGGAAGCATTGTTTTCACAAGAGGTTCTTGTCGGCGTTGGCGATTCTGAGTGTGGGTTAAAAGACGAGCTTGCCACCAGCAAAGCCAAAATTTGAAGTGGATTTGAAACTATTTCATCATCATCGTTGTAGTGTAGAGGGAGAGCATAGGCTAGTAGTCGAGTTTCTTGCCGGTGTTTTTCGTCCAGAGAGAAGGGGTCGACTAAGTTGTTTGGTGGGTGATTTGAATGTAAAATTAAAATGACCAATAAGATAATTTATGTATTGCATCTGCATCGAAATGAAGATTAGTAATTTTAGGATAACTTTCCGCAATTCATTATAAATTTAGAGTATGAAACTGTTAAATTATGTTATTTAACAACCTCAATATGATTTTACAATTATCCTTTAACTTCAGGGAAGGCCTACGCAGTAGGGGTGTAAGTTTGACCCTTAAAACCCACTGACCCGCCCGACCCTCAGGGTCGGGCTGGGTCAGTTTGTCTACAGAGTCAGCTTAGGGTCGGGTTAGCATAGGGTCGGGTCACTTTTTGACCTCATGACCCTTAGCATCATACAAACACGTTGGACCTATTTGTAAAGTTTTAAAAGTTCAGGTACTAAATTGTTAAAAAAATAATTTTGGGTACCAAAACGTAACTTTAACATAAAAATTTTGGGACTTATTTGTAAGAAAATAATATGGAGGTACTAAAATGTAAGAAAAAATAAATTTGAGTACCAAATTATAATTTTTACAAAATAGTGTATTTATTAGGATCGACCCACTGACCCAACCCTTCCTTACCCGCCCGAACCCTAAAGAATCAGACAGAGTCATGGAAGAAACAGGAGTGGGACGGGTCAGTTATACATCTTAACTCTTCAAAAGCGGATCAGACAAGATCAGCGGCGAACCGGACCAATTTTCATCCCTACCGTAAGCAGAGTTCCATCCATTCCCAAAAGGTAAGATATCATTATCAATAGATAAAATAAAAAAAAAAGGATTGCCAGCCACTGGCGAAGGCACATCAAGAGCAACATTATACCTCCACTTTTTGCCCACCACCGCTCCAACAACAATGACATTCCTTACAAATCCTGTCAACCCACTTGTGTATGGTAAAAAAAAACATGTTCATATATTCATTGATTCATTCACGGTCAGATGGTGCTCAGGCTCAGCCTTTAATTGAACAGAATGGCATCTTTTTACAATGCTAGCTGCTACCCATTTTCATACACAATCTTACACAACACTCCTTGGCGACGAGCTGCGTGCAGTCTAACCGACCAGAATTCAGTAGCCCTGTCTCAGTGTTTCTCTCTTAGCTGCTTTTTGTTACCAGCCAAACTCCACTTTACCAACAAAAATTCAAGCAGATTTTAGAACTATTAGATCTTATTATTTAGGCCTAATACCAACTTATAGGTGGATTGTTTTAAAACAGATTATATACATGCACAATTCATTTTGATTTTAATGATTCTCCAATTTTTCATATGCTTTGTCAAAATCGACATATAAATTGGTTGTATCTCGATCGAACCATATCACTTACTAAATCAACGTAACATTACGGTATAAAACGGTTTTACGATCTGCATTAATGATATTACTCGGATATTGGGGTTTTGTTACTCTTTGAATAAGTTACTGGGGGAAGAAGGATTAAAAAACCAAAAACAAGGATGGATAAGAGAGGCCGCACAGCTAGGGCTTTACCTCCATTAAAGTTCCGGCCGAGCTTGAAAAAGGAAGCCTGGAAAAAAATGATTAAAGTCCCATTGGGTCATGAGATGCTTCGCCATAGCATATAAACTAAAATTATTTACGCGATCTTACAATCAATCAATTGATTCTTTTCATATGACCAAACCGTGGTTCAACCTTATTTAAGGCCATGTTTTTTGTTAAAAAAAATTATTTAAGGGCATGTTGGGAAGAGGGGTAGTTCTTATTTGAAATACAGGTAAAGGAACACGTTTGGAAAAAATTAAAAAAAATATATAGTAGAAGAAAAAGTAATAGTATTAATTCTAATTTTCAATAAAAAATTAAGAAAAATGTGTATGCTTTTGCTAAAACTTCAGCTTGAAAAGAAATTTTGGAAAATAAAAATGAAAAAACCACACAAAAAACATCATGGTTCAAGAAGGTGTGCTTAACCTTACGCTTAAGTATGCCTATGCAATCGGCAACACCAAAACGCCTCGTTTAGGAGTTTCGCAGCAAGTTAGAAATTAAGAAGATACTATGAGGTAAGGAGACACATAGGTGTTGTCTAGGCATAATAGAGTGAGCTAGGTAGTCAATATTAAAAGGAGAAATCACCATCATCTACAAACACGATCATCTATATCAACAATTTTTCCTAGCTCAAGAACTGTATAAGCTACTGACCTGTGATTACATGTAGTTGTAAGCTACTTTTCTTGTTGTTAAGTATTATGTTAGTTACTGAACGTCTAATGCCTGTGCATTGGTTAGGCAACGCCTAGGCTACAGGCAAGACTCCAATAGTCGCGGCCTTACACCTAGCGCCTTCTTAAATCTTAGAAAAATTGTAAGACTCTATATCAACCTCATGTCTTATTGATTGCACAACCTAGCATTTTCTTTCCAAAAAGAAACTGCTAATACATCTCTCCACGCCATCAAGCGCAGAAGAACAACAAACAAAATGATGCAACTCTGCACGAAAAATCAATAGCAGCTTCTTTTCCCTTTCTTCTGTGCTTTTCTGCTCTCTAGTCTCTTATGCTCAAAAGATGGCAATAATTAATAACAATAATTACTACACTTATCTGCCTGCCCTGCCTGCCTGGCTTGGGGCTGATAATGGTGTTCCTTTCTCTCCTTCTACGTTCCTGAAATCTCAAAACACTCCTTCCCTTCCACCCACCTTCCCCTCAAAACCATGGAAGGCGAAAACCAAGTGGGGGCAAAAAAAAAAACAATAAAAAGAAGGGGAAAAAACTATAAATATATTCCACCTTCGTTAGCTCACAATCCCTAACTGGAAAACTGAGCCTCCAACTCACCTAGGTTGGACTCTGCACCTAAGAGAGCATAAGGATCTATCAATGTCCAGGCCGCCCTTAGTTACGACCTGCAAGAATGATGATTATGCTCCTTCCTATTTACAGACTAACAGAGGCATTTTTTAACCCAAGTCCCAGGACTCAACCAAAACAAAGACCAAAGACTTGAAACCCCCTCCACGACCTAATATAATAATAGTGTGCTTTCATCCATCACCATTCTTCTAAACTGGGTTAGTCAACAGCAGAAAAACCTAGTCACCACTCACTATAAACAATTGCCCTACTTTTTGAATTTGGATTTTCCTCCCCCATGGTGTTACCCTCAAGCAAACTTTCAAAGCTCCATCTTCCACAGATTGTTATCCACCTGCATATCGTGACACTTCTCGATGGCTGCAACTTTGGCCCGGTATGCTGCTGCTGCTATCGATGTGGCGCCTTTCGCTCTCTCGTCCAGAGGAAGCTCGCAACTTTCGCTGATGGCACCGGACCTCAGGTCTCCGGGAGGGATAAAGCAGTCGACCGAGAGGCCCGGGACATTGAAAGCCACCTCTTCGATGCTCCAAGATTCCTCCATCTTGGTCTTGGTATGGCTCATCGCCATCTCACCAAATCTGTAGAGGGTCACCACGGAATGGCCAGAATGTGCAATCATTATGCCTTCCACTGGCCTATAATCATCCATGAAAGAGTTGATTGTGGTCTCCCAGTACACCGCATCCCCGCCGTTGGATTGGATTCGGGTCAGATGTGAATCCTCCATGTGAACAAGAAGTCCAGTCTTTTGACTGAAGTAGCCAAACAGAACGTGCCTTATAATCTCAGCTGGACCTTCACTCCTTGCCTTCAATGTCTGGGGATCAGCACATAGCTTCAGCATAAAGCAATCCTCCCCATTAATCTTCTTCTCCCCTATGCACTTTGCATCAGCAAACAAGCTCGCCGTGATCCTCGGATCAAGACCCTGCAAATTTTCAAACGGGATGTTTGGATGGATGTATCTAAGAATGGGGTGAAAGTTGCAATACCAAAATACAATTCAACAAAAAAAAAATCACTTTTCATTGGAACTGTGGATGTATTGTGGGGCATTTGACACTGTCAATCAACCTAAAATACATCAAAATCATGCCAATACGTACCTGAAGTGCACGTCGCAAAGGCCGAACAGGTCCTTTAGCAGTGTGGGCACCCAGCCATGGGGTGTGGCGCCAAACAAGCTTGCCATTGCAGCCAGCATGAACCTTGCTACCACCCACTGCAAGCTCAACATACCACATGTCTGGATCCATCTGCCAGAGAACAAATCCGCCCGTCTCAGCGCCTCTGGCACCATTTCGATTCTTCACAACCTTCGTGGCCGTCTCGAACTCTGATGTTATCATTTTGATCTTCCCCATAGCATAAGCATTCCGAATTGAGTTCTGCAGCTTCTGCCCTCCAGATGCTGCAGTGTACTGCTGTAATATGTACTGAGCCGAGGAAGTTTCCTGCATAGAAGCATAGACAATCAAATGCTTGAAGAGAGCTTACACCTCCTATAATTTGAATGAAGTCAAAGATCTTAATGCATTTGGTGGGATATCACATCAGACAGATGATGCAAGCCAATATTTTTTTATATATTCTTTCCTACTCAGTTAAGATCAAATCAAAATCGTAAAGAGCCACACAAAAATAGAGCAAACCATCCATTGTTTACATTTTTTTATGATATGGACAGGAAAACAACAATTTCCTTGCTCTGATGGAAGCTGATTGGGAGGATGAAATAGTGAACCATGGGAAAAAAGCTAAAACAAGGAACACAAATATGAGACATTCCAGTCATAAGGACCCTCTTTTCTTTTCCTTCCAGTTTTCCCACCAACCAAACACCGCAACTGAAGGAGCCAAAAAAGTAAGGACAAAAAGATGTTGCATGGATCTGATGTTCAACCAAAAAAATCCGTTCTTTCAGAGTATCAAATAAGCCTCACCGAATTTGCAACCTTTTGAGGAGAAAAATGAACAATCGAAGAGAATTGAAGCAAATCTAGACACTGAAATGAAGAGCAATCCCTACTGATTCCAAACCGAGTAAAAAACACCAAACCCAAAAACCAAAACAGAAAACAAGGGACTGAAAAGGGAGAGTGGGGGAGAGGAATTTTTTTTTACAATGGGAGTGTCTTTAATGCTGAGCAGAGGCAAAGGGTCCGTGCTGCTAACGTGAACCGGAGCCAACGGCGCACCCATTACTCCGAGCAGAAGCCTCAGATCGGACCTCCTGTAGGCGGCGCCAGCGGCCACTGACGGCGTCCTCGACAGCTGACCTTTCATCCACTGGCCCAGACTCGACCCGACGGGCTTGGGGTCCCCTTCCCCGTCGGGATTGGGACCTTCCATTAACGGCGTCAGCGTCTCACCAACCACCGGCCTCAAGCTTCCGGATCTCCCGATCAACGGCTCCGGCTGGGACACGTAGCAGTTAGCGGCGCCGGAACCCTTCTTCCGCCGGAGGAGACCCGAAAACGGCGAAGCGGTTCGCGCAGGGCTGCAGGAACGGGAACGGGAGCGCGAGCGAGATGGGGAAAGCCCACGAACCACTTCGTCTTTCAGAGCCGAGAAGAACCCTTGTTTTTTCTCCATTCTTTCCCCTGACTCTGATTTTGTTTTCCCGGAGTTGAACCCAGAATTAAAGGAGAGAGAAAAAAAAAAAGGGAAGGCAGCCGGAAAGTGTGTTTCAGACGAGGAAAGGGAGAATGCCAAGAGGGTTCTGTGGATTCTCCATAGAGAGAAGGAATGCGATCGGCGATGGCGGATTGGAAACGCCGGTAGCCAACAGGGAGTGTGATTTTTAGTTTCTGCTCCTTTTTGGGTTGGTGGTGAAGAGTGGAGAGCTGAGAGAGGGTGCGCACAGTGAAAGCAGAAGGGGAAGAGAGAAAGGAAGGCGAGTAGGCGAGTGATTTAAAGAGAGAGAAACGCAGAAAAGAGAGGCTATCATGTAGGACCCGCGAGAAAGAGAGAGAGAGAGCGGATGCACTGGATCATTTCCTCATTTGGGGCTACCGAGAGGACGACGAGAGGGAATAGCGATGCACCAAAAAGAAAAAAAGCAGGAGGAATTCCATATTATTGTCACACCCAGTACCCAATTTTAACAGTTCACACCCAAATACCCCTAATTAATCACAAGCTATCTTTCTGTAAGAAAATAGAATAATAATAATCACAAGCCATTAATGATTATGTGATCAAATCCATCATTCTTTTGCTTGTATTTGAGAGGGGTAGGCTTGACCAACCCGCGATTCGGGGATGCCTGCAACCCGCGAGTAGCGTGTAACTGGTGGCAATGGATCTCGTGATATCTACATCGTCCTTGCCCCCGTTTTTCAAAACGACGTCGTATTAGACATCAGTGTATAAACTAAATGAAGGACAGGGAAACCATAATCCTCATTTCCTCTAGTACAATCGTTCGTGGCGGCTGACTGCTCCCATTCCCTTCGCTACTTTCTTTCCATCGAATCCTCGCGAGCATTCGTTTCACTCAAAATTTCCCCTGATTCCCCACGAATTCCTCTCCATCCAGGCTGTTTATTCGCCGATAATTGCTAGTAGGCAATCATTATCCTGAAATTTGGTCAATTGGAGGCTAGTTTTGCCGGCGATTTCGTAGGGAACAGCATGCAGAACCCTAAAATGCCTGTTGCAATCTTCGATTTGCTGTTATTGGGGAAAACCATAATATCACACACCGAGATAAGTTCTTTCTCCATTTTCCTTTCGTATTCTGTTGCACCTTCTTCCTTATTCTCATATATATATCAACCTCGCAATTAAATTAAGGGTCATTGGTCAGTCTTAGTTCTTGCTTGTATCATTACCTTCACTCTCCGCAGAGCACAGTCGAGGTAATCACTAATAAAACTTTATTTCTCCTAGTCCATTACTTCATTAGCTAGGTCTTTAACAATCGAAGAATGCTAATGTGATTTTTTTTTTTAACTTTGTTGGAGTTCATCAGGTTTGCATCGGGCATCAACTCACCATCTGCGGTCTAGTCAAAGAAAATAAATATATAATTAGTTGGAGTAAAAAAATCTCATCTCCGGGAAATGTCGACCAGGCCACCAAAATGTGTGTAGGCAGGGTACAAAATCGGACGTTATTTGGGTTAGACCTTGCGGCTTTCTTGCTAACTTTTAGTCCATGAGTCTTGATGTCCACTGCTCATACAAATGAGATCCACATCCACTACTGTGTCATAGGCTGAAAGCACCAAAATACTATTAAAAAAACTCATCAAATGTATACAAACACACCTAGAGCTTCTAAATACACCCAAGAGAGAATATCAATCACATTACATCGAAGTTAAAACGACTAAGATATAAAAAAAAAATGATACAAAACAAATAATAGAATAAGGTGATAAAATCATATATTTTACGTTTCATCACCCTATGAAAAATTGGCTAAAAATAAATATAGAGTTTCAAGGCCTTAGTGATGGAGGCTCATGGTTGTAGTCCGACCGTTATCTCAAGATCATGGTCCCCAAGCTGCGATCTATGAAGTCAACAGTCAAACCCTATCAAGCAATACCATTTTGGAAGATCATGGGCTCACTTGAAAGATCATGGGCTTGCTCAGGCCTGAACTCGTACAACCCAAGGCCTATGAATTTGAAGACTTGATTTCTCAGAAAGGGATCTATAATCTATTGTTTTCCATTTGTAGCACAATTATGAGAAGAGGCTAGAGAGGCAAGGGTTTTTTCTAAAACAGAAGAAATCGAAGACGGCTTGGATAAGAAATGGAGGGTGTGCGCTCTCATTTTGGGAAGTTTGAGGTTTCAGATTTGAATACTCCTAGAAGATGGCTCGTCTCCTCATCTCTTGTGTTTCCTCTTCTTCTTTCGTGGGGTAATCACATTGATACTTTGGGATAAAAACCGCTAACTTATATAGATTCTGTTATGTCTTAAATGAGTTTGACGAATTCGTGGTAATCTTGTCCAATTGATTGTTTTTAATTATCGTTTTGTGCCTTGACTGTGTATGGGGTGTTTGGTTCTTGATTCATGAAGGTGATCATCCAATTAGGTCAAGCGAAACCTACAATCTATCAAAATAAGTGGTTATATGCATGAAAATAAGATGATACAGAGGTGTTTCGATTGCTGACTTTTCTTTACATATATATATTTCACTTCCTAAGTGTTTGACTTACGAAAAACGTTGGCAATTGGTTTATGTAATGACCCGTTGGGAAATTGTGATTAAGCTCTCCTATGGCCCATAATGTGAGGAAGGACACATGTAAGGTCTTCATTTTGAATGTTATAAAGAGAGGTAATGTTTCGGTTTCGGTTAGCAGTTAAACACTAATAATCGATGGTTTAACTGTATAAATGTTAGTGGTGCAGTTACTAGTAGGGCGAAATGGCTTTTAGTCTAACATATAACTGAACTGATAACTAGTGTTTCTCTTCCCAAAACGAAACAAACTCTTGATTTTCGTCGAGCAAACAATTTCATAACCGGATAAAAGATTCCGATTTATAAAAGACAAGGGATCAAGTCTCAACAACCAGCTGAGTCTCTTCTTCCCTTACTGGGGGATCGATTTTGCATAGAAAAGTAGACCGAAACTATCATAATCGGTCAGCCCATTAGTACGATATTGTCCTCTTTGAACTAAACTCGCACAGGTTTTACCTTTGGGTATCCTCCTTCAAAAAACCTCGTACTAATGAGTTTGATGGACACTAATATATCGATGTGGTACTTGGATTGTCTCGTAACATAAACAAACAGCCAAAATCGCCGAGAAGAGCTTTCAAAAAAAGTAGCCATAAAAATGGCAGCCTCCGCCGCCCTCCAGCACCAGTACTAGAACCATAGATTAATCGAAATGCAGGAAGGTAGTAACAATAATCATCATCATCATCATAAAGTGTAGGCCAACAGTATTAAAGTAACAAGCAATCGACAATCACCATATCCCCCGCCAGCAAATAAGAGCAACAAAAATCAAACAATCGCAATACAAAGCGAGACGACAAAAAAGAATGGGGGAAATAACTCTCTGGAGGAAGAACCCTCTCTCACTTCCCTCTCTCTCTCTCTAAAGTAACAACCAGAAGAAAGACGCCGCCATGGTAGCCGTCACTCCAGCCATCGCCTTCTCCGCTCCGCTCTGCAAAACCAACAACACACAACAACAGCTTCCAGTGAGTACACATCAAAATTACCATTCAGTCATTCACAACCAATTCAAGCCGAAAGCAACTGGACCCGTAAATGGGCTGGTCTTAATTCTTCATCGGGTCTGCTTATTATTGGGCCCGTAATAATAAGAGCAGTTAAAAGCCCATAGACTAACGGAGTCTGAACTAGGGCAGACTGCTAAGCCTACTCACAGACAAGCACGCCTCGTGGGCCCCGCCTGACACCTCCATCAGTCCTCGGGCAGCGAGCCTCTCCTCTCCTCAGATTTGCTTTTCAATTTTATCAAAATTTGAACTTTTAATATAATTTTGTTTTCCTGACAGCTCTCTCTCCATTTTCACGTGCAATTGCGGCTCCCCCGAGTAAAAATAAAATAAAATAGGGGAAGCAGCAGACCAAGATCTGTTTGTGATCTACATTACGGGGACGGTGGATCTGGCTACACCTGATCCCGCCCTTAAAAACGAAAAAAAAAGGAAGGCGAAACGACGACGTACCACATCAGTGCCGGGGCCGGCGGGACCGGGAGAGGTGGCGCCGAGGCTAGGGGCGGGAGCTCCGGTGGGAGGAGCCGGCGGGCTTGAGGACAAAGGAGAGGGAGCGGAAGCCGGAGACTTCACCTTCGTGGCCGGAGCGGGAGCTGGGACCGTGGCGGGCGGAGAAGCGAGGGGAGCCGGCGGCGGAACGGCCGGAGGAGGAGTAGCCGGCGGCGGGGAGGCCGGAGGGGGAGACGCTACGGGTGGCGGGGTGGCTGGGGGAGGGGAAGCCGGCGGAGGAGATGCGGGTGGTGGAGTGGCCGGCGGCGGGGAGCTGACTGGTGGGGGTGTGGCCGGCGGTGGTGCGGTGGAGACCGGAGGAGGGGCGGAGGCCGGAGGCGGGGAGGATGTCGGGGGAGGGGTGGCGGCGAGCGGAGGAGAGGCGGTGGGGGTGGTGGGAGTCGGCGGGGCCGGGGTGGCGGTTGGGGAAGCTGCCGGGGACTGGCCTCCGACGCCGGCGATTACGATGCAGATCAGGGAGAGGACAACGACGGCTGAACGGTTCTTCATGTTTGGGGGATTTTTGTTGGCTCACACACCCTCACTCCTTTTCTCAGAGACCAAACGGGAAGAAGAGAGAAAGAGGGAGAGAGTGAGTGAGTGAGCGATGACAGAAGAGAGAGCAAATAAAGGAAATAAATAGAGGGAGGGGAAATGTTAGATCTTCGTCTCGTCTAGAAGTAAAAGAGAAGGAAGCGAATTTAATTTTTCTAAAAAGTATATTACGAAAAGCATATAATTTGTTGGTTGGTTTACCAAAAAGCATAGTGTAGTAATAGAACCATGCCTATGAGATCGGTTTAGCGCCATTGCAATTGGCACGGTCGAGCAGGTGGGTGAAGCGTTAATGATCTTGATCGTTTTAGTTCTGTTTAGTTCGGACTTCGGATAGATAAGAAAGTGATTATAATGTTCATTCATATATAAATTATATCAAGTCTCGTCTAACACATGAGTACTAACATATATATATATATAACATTACACCAAAATAATAGTTCGTACTTGAATCTAGTTCGCTCCAGGACTCCACTGCCTCAAAAGCAGGATGTCGGGGCCGTAATGGAAACACACTTAAAAATCCACCAGATAAGTTCGTGATTGGCGCATGAAATGAACCCAGAACAACCTGTGAAAGCCAAGCAAACTAGCCTTACGGTTTAGGAATCAAAGTTCGTTGGTCAATTTTGGTAGAGTTTCGATCGATCGAGTTGACACTAGGTTTCATCGGATTTCGACCAAACTGAAACGAGTTCGAAGAAGTCCAAAATAACTGTGTAGTACCTGTTTTCCCTACCGATCCGACTCAACCGCGGTTAATAACCTGGGATAAAACAAAATAAGTTTTTTTTTCTTTTTTCTTTTTTCTTTTCCCGCCCCTTTTGCTTTAACTTAACTATATATATTTGGTTTTGGGGGAAGTGGAGATCAGACGAAATGATGGTGACCAATGGCCTACTGAACAGATTGGCCAGCGGTCTGATTTTTGGTTTGGATGGGTGGTGTGGCAGGCCCAGGCCCACCAGGACAATACATGTGATGGGAGATGGAAGATCTGAGTGACACGTTGCATCCAGCTAGCTAGGGTTTGTGGGGGCAATAGTGTCTGTCTCTCTTTCTCTTTTCTCTCTGACCAATGATGAGAGATGATTATTAAGCTTGGGTCTTACGGTTTCTTTTACTTATTATGATACATGATTGCTTTGTTCTCCCCCGCTAAACACCCATTGATTTCGGCTTTACCCCAACAAAGAGTGAAAATCAAGATACATCGTACACTAATTGAGAGCTCGTTCGGGGAAACCTGTATTATTTATTATTAACTAGTGGTAGCGGTTACATTATCCAACTGTAGCGGGTCAATAAAAAAATCGGCGATTTATCCATCCAAGACTACCCTCTCATTCCAACTTGTCTTAACATGTGTCATTACATGAGCTGCTTGATTTCCTTCTCTACCAACATGCATGCTGCCAAGTAGTCGTACTCGTACCCATCAAAGAAAGATAGTGCTTAGTATTTCGACGTATAGTACCAATCTCAGATTGCAGAGTTGCCGCCCTCGTCAACTTGTCCACCAAACCCATACTGTACACTTCCAATATAGGGTTCATTATGTGGGTTCTGGTAGGCGACTTGAGTTCCGAATTCAGCATCCAGTGCTTCAGCCTCCTCCACCTCCCAGCTGCTTGGTACGCATTTTGCAGCAGCCATAAAGGAAAGTTCCGTCATGATTTCGTGCAACCATTCCCCAGTCCGATACCCTCTCGTCGCAAAAACCCCAGCATCATCAGTATTTATCTTTACTCTCCCCCACAGCAGGACACCTCCATCTCACCTCCCTTGTGTATGTCGTGGATGGAACCTCAGTGCGCGCCTGGTGGGTGTAGTAGTCTTGTTGAAAAATCTGTGCGCGAGTAGTGATCTCATCCTCAGATAGCCGGATTCCGTTAAACATATGTGCATTCCTCTCCCGCCATAAGAACCAGAGCAGCGTACACCATGCCTCCATCTCCTCATTTTTTAAGTGGTATGTGCTGACTTGGCAGTGACGTCGTGTCGCATTGACCGTCCAAGATAACGGTCAAATCTCGGGTTTGGTCAATTTCGTAACTTCGATGAATAGTTGAGGCCACGATATTATAGATCGAAAAAATTGGTAAGGATATTTAATATAGTGTGCCAAATACAACCATGATCGATGTTGACACAACTGTAACAGATACCATTCCTAGGGCAATCTTCCGTTGAAGTTGATTTGGTTCTGGAACTTAAACCTTTTGAAGACTAACCCATGTACGTAGTGGATCGGTAGTGATCGATAGCGCTAACGCGAACAGTATTTGTTCCTCCGTTACATCAAAATTGGACAACTCTTTGATCTTAGAAGGCAAACAGAAAAGTGTGGGCTTTTTTAGTTGGGTTGTACAGATATTAGGTCATACGTCTTGTCGAATCGGTTAGAAGTGGAAAACGAGAAATTATTGCTCCTTAAAAAGAATTCTCAACTTCGTGAAGTTTTTTTCTACTGAAGGGTGATTGCTGGGGTAACAAGTTCAACTCGACCAGCTTCTCCACGTCTTCTAGCCAACTTAATCCAAATACTTTATATATTTATGCTGATAAAAAGTCAATAACTACTAGTCCTTTATTAGTTGGCTGGCCAATTGAATAGTAACCCAATTTGTTTATTCATTGATTTTCTTACTTGATTATGCCTCACTGGACTAGATAAGATTGCATGCTAACTTTTAAGAGGTTAGCTTCATCCTCACTATTCATCATAAGTCATGACTATTCTAATTACAACTCATTATTTGTAAGTTAAATTTAGTGATGGAAAGTAATGAGAAGCTTATTCGGATTTGAGTATGAATCAGTACTTGAATTATAAATAATTTCGGCGAATGCAAAAATTACGGATGTAGTCTAGCAAAATGCTGCTAATAATAAAAACTCATGCCTACTTACAACATAAATTACTACCGAGAAATAACTATTATAGAATCGCTAATAACCAAATAAAACTCTACTACTCATTTGAAGGTCGTATCAAGGAATTAGGAACTTGGGGACTACTGATGACATGTACAAAGTACTATTTTAGACCCCATAACCAAAAATTTATATATTTATTGTCATATAATAGCTTGAATTTGCTTCATAATCATTCAAAGTGTGTAGCTAAGAATAAATGAGAAGATGATGAATGAGAGACTGAATACCAGGCATAGATGATGATGATAACCGGCCCCCTCATAAACACTTATCACAACCATAGTTAGGAAGGAAATTTCAGGTGGTGGATCGGTGAAAGGTTACAACCTAGTGACTAGGTTAGTACGAATATGATAATCGGGTCATGAAACAACAAAAATACATGGTATGGATATATAATGAATGCTTAGTTACTATTATATGTGCTATGGTGTGTGTGTATGAATGATATGACGAGATGAGACTATGGAATGGAATGTGATGAACAAATGTGTGATTGATGTGCATGGAATGATATGTGATGATGAATGATAATTGTGACTGAATTAAGCGGTCCTTATTGGGCTATATGATATGGTATTGGTAGCCTATAAGGCTATGAAATGGTCTTGGTGAGTGATAAGAATTATGAGCTCGTGAAAGGTTAGGTTATTTTGTCAAAGTCCCGCAGTTACAACTCAAGTTTGGATAGCTCGAATCGACCTTCAAACAAACATAAGAATAAAGGGATACATGGAGATAGATACTCGCCTTAATCAAGTGTGATCGCTTGATTGATAAGAGCTTTGCCAAGCTGTTTTGGATCCTTCAACGGAAAAACTTAAACAAGGATCTTGCCCTAGCTATGGAATCCACTAATAACTAAACTAATAAACCATAAGCACAACGTCTTCATGGAGGAAAACACACCTCGGTGTAAAATTCTTATTCAACAACTCTCTAACCCTAAAATTCGTGTTTACAACTCTTTAAATAAGTATGGAAAAAATAAACCTAATGAAAATACATAAAAAGAAAAAGAATCCTAATCGAAAAAGGAAGTTTAACTCGTCAGGCCCCCCAAACAGGTCACAATACCTAGTCGGGGATGTAGCTGCACTGGCCACGGGTGCTTCTGACTTCGTTCCCTGGTCTCCCCTATAATATCCCGATTGGGGAATTCAATGATGCCGACTGGGGGAAATAGAATCACATCACATCAGTCCCTCCCAGTTGAAGAAGCTTTGCCCTCAAAGCTTTCCAGCCCAGCTTCCAAATGAAATTCTCTAGAATCCTCCAGCAAGGTTCATCCTCTTCTTGTCTCTTCTTCATGTACTTCTACTGACAGAAATGATCATCCACAAAAACATGAAAATTACGTCATTGCCCCTCTCTAGGAAAGCCTCGAACCCAGTCTGCACACCCGGTGATCGTCGTTCTTTGTTTAGCAGTGACGGACCTCAAAGCTTGGGAGACCCAGCAAGAAAAATCATCATAAAAAGGATCGCGATAAACCAACTACTCCTTTTCCACCGTGATCACCTGGTAGAAACCTCTATCTTCCTTCTGCGGCTCTGGTGTTGAAGAAACCACTCTGTTGCCTTCAAGGAACTCATCAAAATTAGTGGTTTCTTTCAACTCGTCCTCTAGCTCAACATGGACTTCATTAGAACTCGAACTCTGTTGCACCGGAGAACTTGAACTCGAACTTGATCTCTGATCAGCCATGGTATGGAGTGAAGCTCCAATATGTGCCATCCGTGCTAGCTGCTCCTACCTTAGTGGTTGAATCTCCTTTTAATGAAAAAGAGGTCCATTGTTCGATTCCCTACCCTGCAGGTTGCTGTCCTCGTGCATGTGTTTTTAGTGTGGGCCGAGCCAGCCCAAGGGGTCAACTCCGCCCGTTTGAGTATTATACGGCCCAGGTTGAGGCCCACATAGGCTCTGCCTCCGAACTAATGGATTATGAGGTCCCAAAAAGTTGAGGCCTTGTGCGGTGGGTCTGACCATCACCAGAGAAAAGTTGAAGGATCGGAACGTGACTCCTCGGAATGTCACGAGTATGCCACAAGGGGAACTCAGTCACTAGAAAAAGGTAAAAGTTCGAATAAATGGTGAGCAACTTGCATATAGGAGTTCACGAGGCCAAACCAAAGGATTTCTTTGAATCTCCTCCTCAAGGTGATTGGGGAGGAGCATTGCCTTCTAAGCCACATTGGCTGCTTGACTAAAATACCAAAGACCTCGCGTTGCTCAAAGACATAAAAGAAAGGGTGCTTCATGGAAGGCAATCCATGTTTTGTCTAAGTAAAGACGTTAAACAAAAGTACTAGGTCGTCAATGATGTAAACAATTGAACGAGGTTGAGTTCCTAGTGCGGTTGTCAATTACCGTTAAATGCTCCTCAAAGGCGGTTAATCGACCCTCTGCCGTTCTTCCATAGCCCAAAACAACAGTGTGCAATTTCACACTCGAATTGGTTCTGTTCATGTTTTCATTCCACAAAATCCTGCCATACCCATTGAAACAAACAGTGAAACATTTCTTAAGATGCTCATAAGAATAAATAAAAAGACAATGTATCTCAGGTGCATGTAAGACGACGACAGTCTCTCATCAGAAGTATAAGTCTATAAGCACACAAGCCATGGATCTAAACTCAGGTTTCAACTACGACTTACTACTGGAGACTATATCTCTGCGGCAATAGGGACAGTCTCCACAGGCTCGAACCCATGGATCTAAGCACACAGAGTGGAAGCGATGTCCACATGGCAGGCACATAAGCTCATCTCCTCCACTGAAACTCTCCAAGCATATGCTACAATCTCTTGACGACACTCCCTCATCGTCTCCACTTTCAGCCACATAAGTAGTAAACACCTCCATCTTCAGACCGACTAGTTCCTCTGGAGATAAACCAGGAGGTTTCTTCTTGGGTGATTGTCGCCTCTCGCTTTCAGAAGTTGAATCGTGGAATGGAAACCCGCCAGGAGACCACACTGCAGGGACATCAGTCCCCCAGTCCCCCGTATCAACTGCACGGAGATCATCGCCAAATGTATGTTCCCCGTTGCTGATGCTGAAGGCAGCAGACCTTGTATTTCGCCTGCAAAATACCAAGCAAATATGGAGTGTTAGCTTTTTTATTTCTATTTATTTATGTTCGGATGAATAATATGGTAGGTTAGATAATTGAATTCAATCGAGTGGGTTTATGAACAAATAACTAAGGGGTCACTTTTGTGGCACCCAATCCATCAAGTGAGTGATTATCCCCAGAGTCCACTATTTGACAAGAAAAACATGATGGAATGTTGCTATACTGGATTTGGAATGATGGGCAAGATGGATATTCCAACAACCCATCAGTCACAATCCACTTCTAAGAAAACAGCTCACCTCGACCAACCATCTATTTGAGGTAACCATCCAAACGACCTCTAAAGTCTAAGGGCATACGGCCTAAAACGCAACCAAGCCCTAGACCGTTGCCTGCTTGCTCATCTATCATCTACAAAGTAATAGCTTTGCTGGCAGCACATAACCATACAAATCAAAGCATGAGGGGCTGGAATTATAGTCCTTCCAACAGTCAAGAAGCATGCTAGTAGCACCACTAAGGATATGGATGACTCATTTATGTCTAATCTGAACTGCCTTCCTAAAGGTGGTTCGGCTCGATTGAAGAGAAAATTCTCAGTTGCAAATCAGCGACTGAACCCTGCAATTTTTGTTGAGTGCTAACCTTCATAGGTCAAAGCTTCACCAAAAGAATATGACGGGAAGATTTTTGTGCAAAACCAATTCATAGTGAAACAGAAGCAAATAGGAGAGCAGCGGATATCACAAGCCAGCATAGCAACACAACTCTAATGTTTAAGAGCCTAAGCTTAGAGCTACCTCCAGTACTTGCACAGTGGGTGGATCATCGTACCCCCGCGGTACTTTGAATTGTGGAAAAACACTAGCAAAGTCCATCAAAAAGTTTCCTCCAAAGGATCATATAGAATCATTACTTTATACTCCATTGTGTTAACTAGCACGGCATCAAGTAAAATGTATGAAGTTGCAGTGCCTCAGAGAAACAAAAGCTAACCCTTATTTACAGGATGTGATGGGTTTCGGAGGAAAAACAGCTTCACCTAACTGGCACTTATAACAAGTTGTAGCATAAGCTTACCCTTACGTCAGACATGGAATATAAAATAGAAGTTAAGATTACCGGTTTCCAGAGAGGGACACTCCTCTTAATCTCTCAAGAAGCCTTGCCCTTGCAAGTAGCACAGCACCAGGGAGCCTCTCATTTGAAGTCACCCTAGGCCGGCCTGATGTGCTTGAAGATTCCTGACCAAAACTGTTGTTTGATACATACTGCCGGGAGACGTGATCAAACCGTCCAGAGGATCGTTCCTGGCAATAGCACAATGCATTGCAGAAACGAATAAGAACAACTAAAATGAGATTACCCCCTTTAGAATTTTTAAAACAACACAGAGAGAAACACAAAATCCATCATCTATTCATGGTTGCCACTGCTGTGCAGGCTATTCACAACACCTAATTTTACTTAACATGTTCCAGTGCAGCTTAAAACGCAAGCCTCTCCAATATTCATGAAACATCTTCCCCTTGCCAACAAACAAGCGTTCCAGATTAAGTCAGGATTTCAACTGCCTGGTGATTCCAGTGAAATCCTCATGGGATTACCCCCTCTCCAGCATGAAATTCAAGCAACTTCCCCTTACCAAACACTAACGAGATTAATTCCTCTATTTCCTTATGCTTAATTCCCAACACCCACTTCTGTTGTTCACCCTAATATCCACAAACCCCAATTCCGCACTTCTAACCTTCGACAGCTCAATCCAAAGCATTTCTTCGAGTTCCTTGGCCATCGAGTGCAAGGAAACGGAATACGTGTGGCAATCAAAAACTTACAGAGGCCCGATGGCAGGCATGCCGAACATGCTGAGATCTGCGGAGAGTATCGTATCCGTCCAAATCATGCCGCCCGGCACCGTTGCTGTTGTGGCTGTGGCCGTGGTGATGGCGCCGGCCAGAATTTTGGTGAAAACCACGATCGGAACTGGAAGCCTCGAGGCCGAGGGGTAACTCGGTGCTCAGCCGCCCAACGCGCGACCTTCTCTGGTAAAACAGCTCCGACGCGCTCGTCATACACCAGAGCAAACAGCAACCAGCACAACGACAACACGAAAACCCAAGTTCAGGTCAGATCGTGATGGAGAAGCAGAGAAGCGCCGGAGGACGGTGGGTGCACAGAGTAAGCGAGCTTCTGAGAAATGCGAGACAGAGAGGAAAGCACTTTTCCTTTTTGAGCTTTTTTTCCCGGAAGATGTTATTGAATCCTTTGGCGAGAAGAAAAAGCGGTATTTTCTCTGGATAAAGTCCGAAATTAGAAATGAGAGATTTTTTTATTTTTAATAATCATCCAAATTCATTGAAAGAAGAAAGGCATAAGGCCCATTGAAGCGGGTGCAGAGCTGGGCGAGGGTAACAAAGTTCACTCTTGCATAAAACACCAATCATGGCCCAATGGGCTTGAAAGTGTGTTGTGGAATTAGAGCTTCTAGGAGAAACGGATCAGACTTGCCCATCGACGTGTTCTTAACATGGGCCGGGTCGAGATCTGCCCCGTTCAAGTACGGATCAGATTTTATGAGCCCCATTGCAGGTCGAATCGGGGAATATCCACCGAGGCAGATCTGGTTTGCCATTCCTACCGGTAGTCCGATTCAAGTCACATCGACATCTATAGACATAATCATATTCGATAGTAATTAAGTACATGAATTATTATCTAAAATACCCTATAATTTGAAGTGATTATCAAATGAAATGTCATTTTATTTCATGGGCGTAAATTTTTGGCATTTAAGAGATGTAATAATGTGAAGTATTCTTGATATTGGGTTGATTTGTATTTAAGGGGAGACGGTGTAGAACACGTGTCGCACACAGATAATCTTATAAATACGATAAAATAAATATGGATAGTTATGAATCAGTCGTCTGAACTCGTGAGTTGGGCTTGACCAACTGCTAAAGCTCAAAACTTTAGCAAGATAGGATCTGGCCATTATCTGCTTATCTTCAACCTTAGACCAACAAGGTCATGTATCATTTATTCTCATTTTCTGAACGGGACTCATTCGAGTCTTCATCGCTGCAACTCCAGGTAGCAGTCATGGCCTTTTCCTTATCGAACCTTCTGTTTGAATAGTCATATTTAAAGTGTCTTGGTTTTCCACACCTAAACAAGTGACAATACCCTTCTCGACATTTCCAACATTTTTGTTCATTTCTCTTCTACTTCCATATTTACTATCCCTTATCATGTCATTCGGAGATATATTTTGATAAAATTCTGTTTCTTTTAAACTTTACATAACCTAGTTGTTTAGAAAGTAACGCAATCTGCTTTTTTATGTCTTCTGAGTGCTAGATCCTTCCTCTTGCAAGATGGATCATTTTCATCAATTTGTAGCGCACTTTTGTGAGTAGTTAGTAAACCTATTAACTCGCTTAACTCAAACTTAGCTAGATCTTTTGACTCTTTTATTGTCATTACCTTTGGTCTCCAAGACCTTGGTGAGGAGTTTCAAATCTTATTAGCTAAATCTGCATTAATGTAGACTTTCCTAAGAGTCATTAAGCCATTATATTTGTGAATCTTTCATACATTTCAGTAATAATTCATATTCAACCTACCTTCATATATAGTTCCCAAGGAGTCCTAATTTTCTTTTGCAGTTTTGCATATGGCTACTTTGCCATACTATTCTCTTTCAATAGCACATTTAAGAATATGCTTGGTTTTTGACATTGATTTGTAGACCTGCAAGATCTTTGTCTAATAAACTCTCCATGCCATTCTCAACTTGCTCTAATCCTCTTTTGATATGGCCTGTCTAAATGTGGCTATGAGACCAAACCGTTGCACACCTAAATGTGAGTAAGCAATCGATGAAAAGCAAAAAAAACTGGCGAAAATTGAGAATGGTTAGTAACATAACAAACAAACAACTGAAGCATGCCACAACCTTGTTATGGATCTTGCTAAGAAGTTTTCAACGAGGCCAACTACCAGCAGAGCAAGCAAGGAAAACCCACAAGTTCAAGAATCCATGGGATTCCTCAAGAACAAAAAAGAAAGAAAATACCTAGTCGCCCTTCCACAATACTAAAGAAACTACTAAGTGCTACACCATCTGTGAAACTGCCACGCAAAATGATCTTTCAAGTCTCTGCCCCAAAAACTGGCCACTGCGTCGATTCTAGATCCATATTCCCCCCCTTGTTTCATTTGACAAAGTGAGGGCTAATTAAGCCAGCGATCTCCAGAAATCCAACCTGATCTTTCCCTGCAAATATCTTCTTCAGCTTCTCGTCACATTTGATGATCTTCTTGTTTTCGGGGTCCTGTAATAGCAAATATCCAAGGTTAGTAAGCTAATTTTGTTAACGTGTTGAAAGCTCTTCTTATTATGGTGCAAGGCCAGCATGGTTTATCATTCTGTCAGACACTCGAAATTAACCAGCAAGGTAAGAACTTTTGATAGACCCGCATCTTCCATCATCTCAAACAATACCCAAAGTTGATAAACTAAATCAATAAAGTGAACTTTTGACATTGAGAGAAATGAGGACTCAACTTGGGATTCTGTCACTAGTCAAATGGCAAAAGTTACTTCCCACAACCTCATAATCTCTAGATGTTCCATTTGTCAAAGGATCTCATTGAATAAGAGCACTTAAGGAACTAATAATCCACAATACAGCATGAAAAATGGAAGAGAAGGCAGCATAGAGAAGTACAGCATTATATCAAAACAACAGGGGAGCAGCGTTTCTACTTCTAGCAAGTAGCTCCATTGAGACACAATCTATTGCATTCACATGAAACATGAATAATGGCAGCAGAAAGAAGGAATGGAGGAAGAGAAACCTCAAAGTTATACAAATGAGATTCAGAAAACCAATACAGGATGAAGCCACCAGCAAAAGCTAAAGCAGAGCCCTCAATATCAACCATTCCACAGAAACCAATTTAAGCCAACAAGACCACCAGAGTTCGTCCCATAAAACCTTCCCCGTTGCACAAAATCCATAGTTACACTGGCATAGCGGAAATTTGAACCCGGGGTCAATCTATAGGCGTAACGGGTCTTAGTCATTGAGCAAACTGGGAATATTGTCGCTCAAATTTTCATTGCCACTCAAGCTAACCCTATCAAGAATCGAAGTGCGGAACTATCACGTAAAACTCCAACTAGTAAATCATGTTACCCGAGTAATTTCATCAAACACATATCCTGCAGCTGTACGGAAAGAAACAGCACGGGTATAAAGGATGCGAAGAGAAGACCTGGAGATTGTGCTCCTTAATGTGAGCCCAGATGAGCTTGAGAGCCTGGGTCCGGGAGATTTCAGGGGAGCCAACAAGCTCCGCCATCTCGGGAGAAACGGGACGGGGTTTCATGATGCCCCGAGGCTGGCGAGTGCCGGCCGCCGGCTTGGGAGACGCCGTGGCGCAGGTGACGGTGTGGACGAACCGTTGGTTAGGGAGCTGGGGAGCGGCGGCGAGAAGGCGGAGAGAAGAGGGGGAAGAGGCGGCGGATGAGGCGAGAAAGGGAACCGCGTGGGCGGAGAAGAAGGTGGAGGAGATGCCTGAGGAAGAAATCGCCATCGGAGCTGCAGCGGAGGAAGGGAGTGGGGAGAGGGATTCGGCTCGGAAAGGTTATCCTGATATTTTGGGGCTGTGTGAAAAAATAAGGGGCTCTCCTCTCCTCCGCCGCGAAAAGGAGATATATACGGAGATTATTAGAGTCCTACCTCACCACAGTAACCACTCTCATCAGTGTTTGTTACTTTTAAATTAAATCACGCAGTGGAAGCAACAAGAGATTTATTTGTTATTTTTTTAAAAAAATGATATTTTAGAAATAAATTAGATTTTGAATTATCTCTCTCTGCTCCGTTATAGAGAATTCTACGTGAAAAAAAACTATTATTGAAAAACTAATTCTGATCAAATCAGTGGGTGATTTTTTTTTGGTCGGAAGCGGAGAGCTAAAGGGCGCTCCAATCTGTAAAATTCATCGTACAGCCAATGAATCAACAATGGAGAAGGACCGTAAACACATGTTCCCCAACAACGACAAAATGACCCAAAGAAGCAAGAAAGTCTGCTGCAAAGTTTCCTTCCTTAAAGTATGGTCGAGATGGACCTGCCGCCGTAGTGTCAAAAGACGGAGAGTCTCCGCAGTTAAGTATTGCATGCGGATTTGTGGGCGGCGCGAACTAGATGAGGCTGAGGGTTGTCTGCGAATCAGTCTGTAGAATAACCCTCCTAACTCCCGGTTCTCAGAAAATCTTGAGACCATGCACAATTCCAGTCAATTTTTGCATGAGTGATGGAACCACCACCAAGGTTCACTGAGTACGCTTTAAGGAAACGACTATCATCTTCTCGGACAATTCCTCCTGCTGTCGTGCTCGGTGAGGCGTGGTTGACTGACCCATTAGTGTTCAAGTTGAGTCCATCCAGGCGATGGTGACGCCAATGAATCATGCTGCTCTGCGACGCTCTCTCCCTACTAAAGATGCTTCTGCTCTTCTCAAAAGCCTCAATAGTTTGTGTCTTTAGTTGTTTAGACTCGAACTGAAAAATGTGTACTAGTTTCAAGTTTACCTTCGAACCGATGATTGTTCTGATTCTTCCACATGAGCCAGCAAGTAGCTGCAAAGAGTAAGATATCTATGATGGAGTTGCGCCTCGCCATATAGTGAAAAATCCATGTGGTCAAATCCTCTTGAAAGAAGTCAGCGTCCAATTCGCCTTCAAGGAAGTCTGACCAAACCGCTCGAGCATAACTACAGACTCTTAGCACATAGAGTACCATCGCTGGCCCTCCTCAACAAATTTTTTCTATCAATATAATTTTTTTTTTGTCATCAAATGTTTTTATAAAATTAGATTTGCTTGGGAACTATTTATTTCAGCTAATTATTGAAATGTCACTTTTCAATTATGAGTTACACAAAATGTATAACAAATCTAATAACTAATGGTTTGATGAATGACTACCTGACTAAATATTTTTTTAGAAAATTTACTTGATAATTGATTACAATGTAATAAAAAACTTCGTAAATTGGATCCACTAAAATCAAATCCCGACTAATTGGATCCCACTAAAATAAAATCCTGACTACACTACGCCACTAGCTGCCTCCACAAAAGGTATTGGTACAACATGGATAAACTAGCCCAAATACAACCCACCAGTTTCCCAAATTTCGCTTCCAATATGAGATTTTTTTTAACGAACCTTTTAATCCTTGGTTCTGACAAACTTTTTTTTTTTTTTTTTTGCGCCATAGATAGAATATTACAATTCTTGAAAATTAAAAGCAGTAGTCAACCTAGTGTTGAACTACCGATACAAACGGGTTGCTTTGCTAAGGAGAGGATCACCTCTCCTAAAAGTGTAACATGTTAAAATTCATTGGCGCGTGCCCAAATACTATCCAACAAGTTGGAAGACTCATTAACAACGCCCAGTTTTTACAATCTGAGATTATAATGAAACATCTTCCAGAAACACCACCAATCATGATGAAATTTGGACAAACCATAGTTCTCCAGTGAAAGCATCCTCCAGGACACACAAGTAAGGATGATTATATAATGCAACAACACGGTACACGAGCATTCCTAGACTCTACAACCAAACCTCAGAGTACCTTGCCATGCTATGTTCCAACTTCCAGTTGTGTCATTTCTTAAGATGGGGGAAACAAGCATACACATCAGCTTTCGGGTGCTTCGCTTCAGCGTGCTCTCGACACTTCACCTCTGTAGTGGTGCAGATGAATGTCTGCATGCACACCTTGCACTGCATTCACCGGAAGCAATCATCCAGGGATCCACCAGCGAGCCATCGGGGGAGCAGCACAAACAACAAAGAACACCAAATTACTACCTTTGCGGTGTAACCGAGTAAAAAATATATCTTCATCACACAGGCAAGCTATAACAGCACAACACAAGTACTGAAACAACCACCACTACCACCACCATGGTACAGTAGCTCATCTCAAGGGAGAATTAGCAGGATAATCAACAGACGAAGTAAAGCTATGCGAACTTTTTAGCGCATTACCGAAAATCGCAGAGCTACGATTCTAACACCAAACTACTTAATGCGTGAAACCAGGAACATTTCTTGCTGCATAAATCAAGCTCCAGCTTGACCCTTGATGTACAGGACAGAATTCCCCCAGAATTTGCACACTGTGTTGATCCTCGTTAGCCATAATTTTGAGCATGATTTCAATATACACAATGATCAGACCCTAGATAATAGATGCTATAAACTGATCACAAACACAAAAGACTAAGACACTGCTATGGCCACTAGCTGGTGTACTAAATTCAAGCATGTCATAAACAGAGAAACCAGTAACCCTAACAGCAGCCCAGAACAAAATTCAGAGAGTATCAAGATAGTAGAAGATCGCCACTCAAGAAACCGGCAATCGTCGGGGGAAAAGGGAGAATTGAACTATAATGACCAAATCAAATATCAGAAGAAGGAATAAGAACAGCATGCAAGGAGATTACCTGAATACTCATGGCTTTCTTGTTAGTTTCGAGCTGGCTACCTGAAAACAATAAAAGAAACTCCGCCTTTAGATCACCGAAATTCGCTGCTAAGGAAGGAGGGCGGTGATGGAAAGGGAAAAAAGGAACAGGAAGATCAATTTATACCCTTTGCACCCTTTTGCTTCTCCAGATTCTTCTCTCGGGCCATCTTGGCTTTCTGGGCGTTTCCTCCTCCCATGGCTGAGCTCGATTTGATCGTTCGGCGGATCCCAAGAAGCTCGAATTCCGCCTTTTCCCCCTTTCTCTTCTCTTCTAGGGTTATTCAGTCGGGATGAAGGAGGAAGCAGGTACCGGAATTGGCGAAGTTATATGCAGTTATTAGAACCTGGATGGAAGAAGCCTCTAGAATGGGTTAATTGACCAAAATGGCCACTCATGTTTTGCTCGTTAACAAAATAGCTACAATATTTTAAACGGTACACAAATCATCCGTAGTCGGTAGGAGTGGCTATATGGTCCCGTTAAATTGGTCCGAATTGATCCGGTCCCAGTTCGATATTTTCGAGAATGTAAGGACCAAAGATTAGTTTGGATTGGATACAGTCCGGTCTTGTCCCAATTCGGTCTTGATTTTAGATTGAGCTTGTGGGGATTTGATCAATATAAAATCAAGACCGGATTGGGACCTGACCGGGTCAAGACTGGATCGGATCAAGACCGGACTGTATCCAATCCAATCTTTGGTCCTTATATTTTCGAAAAGAACGGACTGGACCGGATCAATTTGGCCAATTTAACCGAACCGGATCGTATAGCCACCCCTAGCCAATATGCGTCACCAGGGAGTGCTCCACCCCTACCTAGCAGAGCTCTTAGCAGTAAAAGGCGCTATCACCATGGTCGACTCAAGATCCTTGACTGCTGTGATAGTGGAAGGTATTTCGAGGTGGCTGTCATCCAGATCTGACAATTTGTCATAGAAGATTCATTTGGAGGTACAGTGCTCCAAGAGTGTCGTCAGATCCTAGACTCTTTTCCAGTTTGTATAGAGTTTAAGGCTGTTCCTAGAGCCGACAACAGTGCTGCCCATAGAGTGGCGCGTAAAACACTGCTATTGTCTCTCTTAGAGTTATAATATTTCGACTTTTTTAGATGGCTTCACTAGAGTGTCGCTTGTAGAAAATTCCTGACTAATTTTGTTTGGATAACTCTCGTCATCTCTTAATATCACTCGAAAATAAAAACAGTATGTTTCTTTATGTACAATCCATAGTTAAATGAGATACATATACAACGCTAATTGAGATATTACAATCCATGGTGCATAGCCTCAACACTCTCTCAAAATGTCATAGTTACTTGCCTTCTTTCCACGCTGCTGCTTGAGAATTACTCTCCTAAAAAGCTGCAAGTGAAATCAATGCTTTCGGAACCGTCTGTTTCTTCTTCTTAAACCTGAAATCCATGGTGCAAGCCGCAAGTGAATTACTCTCCATAATCTGCAGGTATAATAACCAAACTCGGATCACATTGAAGTCCTAAATTCACTATATAGCAGAAAGGTTTAAAGTTGAATGCAGGTTACATTAAACCTAACTCAACCCAGCTTCCAACGACACGTCTGTCTTATACAGGCACGATGTAGACAATAAAAGCAGTTGCAAGTACTTTCTGATCATCGATCTCAATGTTATGTACATGCCATTTCTGTCCTAGTAATTCAGCAAGCAAACAAGAACAGCCAAATCCTACTAAAGATAAGGGCAAGCAACAAGAGACAACTATCGACCGTATTAATACAAAATATGTACTAGGAGAATCACAATTTAGGTACCTGGAATCACAATTCTTGAGTTATCTGTTGAAGCCAGAGCCTTCCTTTATCGTATAAGTTCAGATGCGTCTTCATCCTCGCAAGTATTTGACATGACATGTGTAACAGGCTATCCCCTATTGCCAAATCGGCCAACGGATGACTTGGCATTGATCAACAATTGGTGAAAGGCTACATCATATTCTTAAGATCATGATAAAGAAAAAGGGAGCTTGCAGAGCACCAATACTAAGCCCAAGAAGACAATTACTTCTTAGGGCCACCTCTTTGCTATTCGTTGTGACAACCTGCCCTCTTCTTCCCTAGTAACACGTGGATCAAGCTTTTGAAGAGTGCTAATGAACATGGTTGCATCACCCTGGCGACTGTGCTTACAATAGCCATCAACAATAGAGTTGTAGGTACTGTCATTCGGCTGACAACCCTGCTTGATCATGTATTGCAGAACATTGATGGCTTCCTCAAACATCGAGTCAGCTGCATACCTTGAAATGAACGTGTTATATGTGATCACATCCGGAGTAAGCCCAGCAGAATCTTTCATTTCTGAAAAGATTCTTGATGCTTCCTTCATCCGACCATTTCGACAATAGGCAAATATAACCGTGTTGTATGAGATTAGATCTGGTTTCAGTCCTTTCTGAAGAATTGCTCTTAATATTTCTTCCGACTTCTCAAAATTTCCAGAGCGGCTGTGCATGTACATCAAAGTATTGTATGTTGCCAAACTTGGGGTGAACCCACGGTCATGGATGAAGGTTAAGATCTCATCAGCTTTAGCGACCATTTGTCTCCTCCCATATATAGAAATCATGGCATTCAGTGTACTGATATCAGGTGAAAATCCTTTCTTCTTCAACTCCAAGAAAGCATGCTCAGTTTCCACTAGAAGGTCACTCTTACTATTGACCAAAACAAGGGTCTTCAAGAGAAGAGTATGAGGCTCAATAGCTCCTGAATATATGTCTGCAGCAAGAGCATGCATTCGCTCGATCTCTTTCCCATTGGCATAAGCATGAAGCAACGAACTGTATGTAAATTCATTGGGCCTGCAGCCACTGTCTTTCATTTCAGAAAGAATTTTCTCAGACTGTTGCCAAAGCCCACCCCTGGCAAGTGCAGCCAGGACAGCATTGTAGGATGAAAGGCCAGGAGTAACTCCTGCTTCAAGCATTCTCTTGTAAATGGTCATGGCTTGTTCAAAAGAACCACATCTGCTGTACGCGCTAATTAGCGTGTTGAAGGTGTCCCTCTCAGGCACAAACCCTGCTCTTTTCATCTCCCTAAACACTCCGGAAACTTCAGAGTCCAATCCATTGTTCCCAAACACTGCAAGAAGCGTGTTCCAAGTAACAATATCGGGAGCACAGTTGCATGCTTTAATCTCCTCAAAAACCTTCATCATCTCAGTAAAATTACCCCTGTTACCGTGCATTTTAATCAGAGCGTTGAAAGTACAAATATTGGGCTTGCAGCCATTATCTCTCATTTCCTTGAATATACTCATTGCATACTCATCTTTCCCAGCCTTCTCAAATCCTGACAGGAGAGTAGTGTACGTAAAAACATCCGGTATGATCTCATTCTCTATCATTTGTGATTTAAGCTCCATAGCGTCATCCAATAACCCATCTTTTGCATAAGCTGATATCAATGAATTGTAGGTCACAATGCTAGGAGAAAACCCATTAATCTCCATATCACTCAATACCTTCATAGCCTCCTTTGGCCGCCTAGACTTCCCATAAACATCCAACAAGGCGTTATAAGTGACCTTATCAGGAGAAAACCCAGCAGCTTTCATTTCCTCAAAAACCTCAGCAGCTTCTTCATACAAAGTCCCTCGACGGCAGCAAGTTATGAGAGTGTTATATGTGTATTCATCAGGAGGAATCCCCGCACTCTTCATTGCTTCTACCAGACCTATAGTCTTACTCCAAGGCATGCCCATTTTCCCATACGCGTTAAGAATAACATTATAAGTTATTAACGTGGGCCTGCAACCTTCTTCCTCCATCTTATTAAATAACATCACAGCATCTCTATACCTGCCATTACTAGAATAAACAGTAATCAAAGATGTATAAGCATACACGTCAAGTTCAAACCCGTCTTTATGCAAGCTGTTCAGCAGAGAAGCTGCCGCCGAAACTTTCCCACTTTTACCAAGCATTCTAAAAACTGAAGCCACCATAGAATTACTGACAACCAACTGGTAACCCTGCCTGCTCCTCACCCATTCAAACACACTCATCGCCAGGTCGAATTTCTTTTGGAACCCTAAACCCTTCATAACCCCCAGAACATCAATAGATAAACCGTCAACATCAACTTTACCATCAACACCGCCACTCAAACTCGACCCAGCTCTGTAATACTCAAACAAACTGTCCAAGACTCCATCCAACTCCGAGACTTGATAAGATGGGTTGTTAAGGGAGTCGAGAACTTTCTGACCTTGCGGGGAAAGGCGGAAGTGTGACCAGGGCTTCCCACGGTTGGGGTCACGATTCTTGCCAATTCGAGTTTTGCTCCTGGTAATGAAAGCAGGGCTTGTTACTGTTCTCCGGGTTTCTCGAGAATTGGAGTTTTGGGTAGAAATGAATTCTTGGAGATGAGGAGTTGCAGGGGTTGATGATAGTGAAGAAGTCTGTAGCATCACCGGCGGCTGCGACTGCTGCTGGTGTGAATGGTGGTGCTTGTGATTATGGAGATTCTGTGTTGGGAAAAGAGATTTTGAGGGCGGCGGAGTTGGGAATAGGAGGGGAAGGGCTAGTTTGTCCGCCATTGGAAGAGGAGGGAAGGGAGAGTGAGAGACCTGGAAGCCAAACTGGCGCTATACTGATTCTGTGGGGAGATATTTACGGGGCTTTCGATTTTTAGTTTTGTACTAATTTCGCAATCGGAAACCCTTTTTTTTTTTATATCTTTTTGGCTAACGTTGTCAACCATTAACCCGGTCAAGTTAGAGAATCAAGAGTTAATGAGTTGATCGGTTTAACCAGTTTAACCCAAATGAGCCCGATTTAATATGACGAATGAAAAAGTTTTGATAATAATAATTGAATACCCAATTAGAAAACCAACTTTTTTAATTCCAGAGGAGAAAACCAACTTTTTCCTATTATCCCAAATCCCCAACCTCTATCCCTTTAGCTCGCAATCGGGAACTTGACTTCTCGCAAGGAGAGCAGTCAAAGAGAGAAAATAAAATCAAAACAATTAAATGAATTCGGGGTGGTGGCCGAACCCTCGACAACTCCGAGTGAAAAAAATCGGAGAAGAGCATAGTAATTTGGGGAGAAGAGGCGAGAAAGCGATGATTTTTTTTGACAAGACAGTTTCATTAAAACTGAGAAATGTATAAAGTGGGTAATTAACTCAATGGAAAGACATCAAACAAAATCAACTAGGAAGGAGAAAAGCCCACACACATAGGCCCAAAAGAAGTGTTCAAAGACTGAAACAGATTAGCCCACAAAAACACTCACAAGGAGCCCAAAGAAGAACAAGCCCCCAAACCCTAGCATATTCCATCTCTATGTGTAGCCCCCATCGCTGGAAACATCTTCACAAGCCGACCACCACCAAAGCTCCACACCAGATCGAGAATACCCAATCCAACAAGAAGCGAAAGTAGGCCGGAACGCAAGATCAAACCATCCCGTATGCGGATCGGAACAAGACGAGCACGACAGAAACCAAACTCGCCTCCAAACCTTACCTCATTGGACCAAATCGTCTTCAGATGCTCCCACAAAAACCATGCACGAGCAGACCTTCAGAAAAACTGGGCGACCGACGACGAAACACATAGATCGAGTCTCTGTCTTCTGATCTCCCAACCGCGTCCGAGCCGATTCACAGGGGAAGGCTACTGACATCTCCGAAATGCCAAGATCAGAAGGGCGAAGCAAGAAGGTAGATGAGAGGCGAGAAGACGAGAGACAAGCCGATCTAAAGAATCAAAACCAGTCACCCATTGCCACCACGAACAAAAGATCTATAGATACGAAAAATCATAACAGAACATGAAAAACAACCATCTCCATTGGAGAGATCAAAGGAGAAAATCCAAAAGAGGACTTGAAAGAAGAAAATATGGCAAACAGAAGGAAATAAAGCGATTGGAAGTGACGCCGGCAGCAGACCCCTAAAGAGACTTGGAAAGAAGAGTCTAGAGAGAAGTCACAGGGAAAGCGAGAGAGGATAGGACGAGAAGCGTGAAGAGAGAGGAACTGTGAGAAAGCGTTAATGGAGAGAAGAAAGTCGAAGGTGGCGTAGGCGGCGGGGATCTATCGAGTGGCATGACGATTGCTAAGGTTTTTGTCTTCTCTCTCTCTCTCTCTCCCTCCAGCCTCCTAATTCGCACGGAAGAGAAAATGGTACGGTCGATTCACTTTGAAATGCCGCCACATGCAAATAAGGGCCGTTGACTCGGTTGTTGGGGCCAACTGTCCGGGTCTTCCGCGTTTGACCGATTCCGGGCGAAAGCTTGATTGGATCACTGGAGCCCAGGGATGAGTTAGCTTGGTTACTAAATTTCTAGTAGCCACCTTGGCTACATCAATATCCACCATCCATTTTTATCTTTTTCCTATTTTTATAATCTCACGATTATGATTGCTCAAGGATAATTTTGGAAACAAAAAATAAACCACACTGGATTATTCTATATATACACAAACCCTAATTCTACCCTCCTCCCACCCAACCCACCGCCTCCCACCATCTATTCTTCTCGGCGGTGCCGCTGTCCCTCCCTGCCCCTCTCCTCACCACCCACCCCACCGGCGGCACCCTCCCCCACTCCATCCCTCCACCCCTCCCATCCCCTCACCACCCCACGTCCCCACCCGGCAGTCCCCCCTCCATCCCTCCACCTCACCCACTAGCCATTCCCCTCACCATCCCATCTCAATCGCGTCTCCAATCGCGTCTCCACTAGCCATTCCCCAGGACAACCAAAGTGAAGTGTCTGAGTGATGCTGGCCTGTTTCTTGATTCGTAAGTTTCTAACCTTTCCTTCTAATGAATGTTTTGCTTTCCCTTCTCTGCCTCATGCTCAAGTCGTTCAAGGACTGAGATTTCCTGTTACTAATTTGCTTAGTTGGTCTCTGCAATTGGAAGGAGGAATTCCATTGGAATGGTATGTTTTTTTTTAAATGGTAGTCATTTTTTTAGTAGTGATTTATTTTAAATGGTAGTCATTTTTTTCGTAGTGGTAGTGTTATTGTCGTATTGGTATAGTTTTTGTCGCATTGGTATTATTTTTGTCGCATTGGTATTGATTTTGTCGCATTGGTAGTGATTAAATCTGCAATGGTATTGATGTTTTGTGAAATGGTAGTGTTTTTATTTCTTGAATGGTATTGATGTTTTGTGAAATGGTAGTGTTTTTATTTCTTGAATGGTAGTTTTCGTGTAATGGTATAAATTTAATTCTGCAATGGTAGTTTTCGTGTAATGGTATAGATTTATTTCTGCAATGGTATTGATATTTTTCAAAGTGGTAGTGTTTGTCTAATGGATTGGTACTGATTTCGTTTTTTTTTTTTGCAGAAAGATTGAAAAAAATATGGAAAGGAAATCTGGCTGGAGATTACGGAAGTGAGAGAAAGAGAGATTTTTAATTAATAGACTTTTGTAACTACCTTAAATGTAATTTATTAAAAAATTAATTAATATAATTTATTTTTCCATACCCAATTTACCCTCAGTAATCACGGTGATTACTGAGGGTCCGAGCCCATTTTCGGACCCCTGGAGCCCATTTTCGTGAACGGGTCCGAGCCCATTTTCTCTATTATATTTGGTGACAAGTCTTTGAAACTGGATGATATTTTATGCGTCTCGACAAATTAAGAAGCTCTTATTATCTGTGGCAAAATTATGTCGTACTAATTCAATTTTCAATTGATTTTTTTTGCTGTTTTTTGTTGTTGTTGTGAATGATCTAAGCACGGGTGCACCACATATGTGGGGAAGGAATAATGGTGATGTCTATGAATTGCCGAAGGATTTGGGAATGGTTCGGCTAGCATTGGTCACCACTCATATCCCTTCGTCTTCTTGACATTATAGACTTGGTCATCCCTCGACTAAGTCATTGTCTCATTTACTTCATACTCATTCTCTTCCAGTTTCTAAGGAGTAAAACTTTTCATGTGATTCGTGTCTTTGTAATAGGAGTCATAAACTACCTTTTCCCGTCTTTAGTTTGACAAGTAGTCGGTCTTTTGATCTTGGGTACCAGATGTTTGGGGTCTTGCCCTATTCATTCAATCGATGGTTTTCATTGTTATATTATCTTTGTTGATCACTTCACTGGATATACTTCGGTTTGTCCTCTTCCTAAGAAATCTGATGTTCTGCTGATCTTTTGTACTACCATTTGGTGCCTCTATTCTGATGGTGGTGGATAGTTTTCCAAGCTTCATTTTGATCTTGAATCTCATGGCATAAGTCACTTGCTCATCCCTCCATACACATCGGAACACAATGGTTTAGCAAGGCGAAAGCATCGTCATCTTGTTGAGACCAGGATCATTCTTCTTCATCATGGCAGCCCACTTGCCGATGTCACTTAATATTGGCAAGCTCTTGAGGCCCATCAATATTTGGTGTACATCAGACCATACATTGCCTTTGCAGTCAAAGAGTTATTCCAATTTATGCATGCTCCTACCACCATCAACTGCAGTGTGTGAAGCACATTTTTTCCTATCTCCGTGAGACCATGCACTTTGGCCTATCTATTCGTTGTCGTTCTTATCTCTTGGCATTCCAAAAAACAACACACGGTTGTCCGCTTTAGCACATATGCATAGTATTGCACTATTGCCCAAGCCACTGCAAAACTAGAATGGGTGCAAAACTTATTTAGTGAACTAAATCAACCCACCGCCACAACAATTGTGCTTTACTATGATAATTTGGTTGCCACATACTTCAGTGCCTATCTCGTGTTTCACTCTCGTATGAACACTTAGCTCTTGACTACCACTTTGTACGCCAAATAGCTCAAGTCGGTCGAATCCGAGTTCAACATATCTCTAGTATTCATCAGTTAGCTTATACCCTCACAACGCAATGCACAATCCTGATTTCTTCTTCTTCGGTTCAAGATTTGAGCTGTTGACACTACCTCCATCTTGAAGGGGGCGTAATACATATAAACCATAACTGAAATCCTTTGAATGGGCTCAAATCATGGCATGTAATTACTCATAGTTATCTCTCCCTAATCGGCTCCCTAGATGGCTCTCTCTACGTATATATACCTTTCTATCGATATGCAATACATACGATTCAAAAGTATATTGCACAAAGTCTTATCAATTCCAGCATGAGGGTGGCCACCAACCGGCCATCAACATACTGCTAAAATTGAAAATTTTGATCAATTGAGCAAAGACCATTCGAACACACTAGCTTGATCAAGCTTGGAAGATGAACCAAACAATAGGTTTCAGCCATAAAACCATGAGCAGATTTCAGTTGATACTTCTTTCCGAAAAAGGGAACCTGAGTTTTCACACAAGAAAGGTAACAACCCAACATAACAAATCACAAACACTTATCTATATATGAAGGACAAGCAAGGAAAACATGCTTTTCATCTTCTATCTCAAATGTTGTTGGGTCATAGGGTTAGCCCATTTGACCTAAAAGCCTATCAAGCGAAGCCCACTAAACAATTGAAAGGATAAAGCCCACTAATCAATGGAAATCCAAGACCGACAATATGATCACCAATATCGAGGCGTGAAGACCGTCCGAGACAGGTGCCTCGGGGCCTACTGACACAACATTAAATGTCATTAAAGGCATAATTCATCAGATTGCACGTCGAACCACCACCAAATCGACTATAAATACCCACTTTCAAGTACTTATTCTCTTACCAAATATTCTTCTCTCATTCTATCTCTAATTTGATTGTGGAAAGCGCCACCTTACATAGCACATAGCTGATGGCTAATAGCCAATAGTAACTTATCACAAACAAAAATATTAGAAGTAAAAAAACTATACTTTAGTTTTTAGAATTTACAAACCCTTATTTGCTTCCATTTCCAACATTACATTAGATGCAGGAAAGAAGCAATCGTCCACTCAGAAGCAGAAAGCCACCCCCTGAGAGTAGAGAGTGATGGTAAGATAAAGTGAAGAACAAATTACTCATATTCAGTTCCATTTCAAGCTTCATGCACTAAGCTTCCTGTTTGTTTTACATAGGCCCAAAAGTTAGTGCAGGGAAGAAAGCACTCTTCCCCGCTACAAGAAAAAAGAAAAGAATATCAAAGCAGCTATTGACACTTTTACACTTCATATCCCACAACAACAACAACAACTCTGGCCCAGGATCAAGCTCAGATTTTGAAGAAATTTACACAGCTTCTTACACTACACGTCTACACCACTTGCCTTCTTTCTTCTTCATCAGCTTTTATCCAAGCAGCCTGCACCAAAGAAACCAACAATCGCATAAAAAACTCAATAAACAAGAAGACCCTTCAACAAATACAGTGTTACAGAGAAAACTCACTCACCTTGTCCCGTTGAAGCTTGGAGAAATGTGGCCTGAGGGAGTTTCCAAAACTTAATCCACCCCATGCTTCTTCCAACTCCTTCTCCCTCACTTCTCTACGAGACATGGAAGACGAGACCGCGACTCTTGCATGTTCTCCTGTTTCCTTTTCGAAAGCGCTCATCTTCTCCTTCTCCAGTCTAGATTTATGTTTAACCAGAATTTGGTCCAGACTTCCTTCTTCACTTCTCTGCTGCAAATGCAAATTTCTGCCTCTTCTCTGCACCACCTTGATATCATCTTCCTTCAAACGTGATTCCATTTTCTCCCTCTCTAGCTTAGACACATGCTTTACCAAGACTTTCTCCAAACCTTCTTCTACTGCCCCAATTCTGTCATTTTGTGCTTGCTGCAAATTTCTGCCTCTTCTCTGCACCACCTTGACATCACCTTCCTTCAAACGTGATTCCATTTTCTCTCTTTCTAGCTTAGACACATGCTTTACCAAGACTTTCTCCAACCCTTCTTCTGCTGCCCCAATTCTGCCAGCTTGTGCTTGCTGCTGCTTACTTTGGATTCTGTTGTATTCACTTCTCCTGTTCTTAGCCTGCATTGTGTTCTCCCGTTCCAATCTGCTCACAGGCTTGATCAATATCTTCTCTAAGCTGTCTTCTTGCAAGTTGGGAGAAGTCCTCATCGTCTTGCCTTCAAATTCTGAATCTGACGAGATTGTTGCTACTTTGTTGAAGTCAACGTTCTCTTGCTCTGCCATTTCATTTATTCGACTCCTGTTTTTTGCTTCTTGGACCTCTTTTTCAAGCCTGGATACATGCTTAACAAGAACCTCATCCAAGCTAGGCACGCCTGGGACACTACTTGCTGCTTTTGGCCTGTTAACAACCCACTTTGATAACTTTTCAGAGTCCTGTCTTGCTTCTTGATTTTCAATCTCTGGTTTTGTAGGACGCTTAGCCATTATGCTTGCTAGGTCAGGGATCACCTCACATGAAGAATCCCATTCATGCACCGGTTTCTTGCGGGCTGTTTTGTAATCGTAATCCTTAGCTGAATTCCTCTTCGCTTCTTGAATCTCTCTCTCAATCCTGGATGAGTGCTTGACAAGAATACTTCCTAGGTCAGGAACAATGTCGCATGCACTTGCTTTCTTATCTAACTGCACCTTTCCATTCTTGTCATCATTAGTCGACGCATCTCTTGCTCCTTCCGCCTCTTTCTTCCTGTTATTCTTGGCTTGTTCAACTTCCTTCTCAAGTTTTGACATGTGCTTTACAAGAAACTTGTCTAGGCTGGGGAGTTCTGACTCGCCTTGCTTCTTTCCTGCATCTACAGAAGATGGCCTTCGAGGAACACTGAGAGCTTCAGTTGAGATGCGATGATCACGCTGCAGCTTAATGCTCTCGACTTCTGCCAATGCAGCACTTAAGCCACAAGTTGCAACTATCGTTGCAAGCGAAGACAACTCATCTTCTTTCAAGGATTTAAGCCTGTCAAGCATCATATTGACAAGCTCCACCGACTGTCTCTTCTTTTTCTTTTGACTGGACTTTGGAGAGGTAGACATGGGTTCAGAACCAGAATCTGATCCGGACTCTGCAGAGAGTTCTTTCAAGTCTTCTTGTTCTCCTTCATAAACACTACTCTCCGGATTCTGACTAATCTTCTGCAACAAATCTCTGAATTCATCTTGGTCGGAAGGCGGACAAGTGGCGGCAAGCCTGATAAATGCAACTTTAACGGCTGCAGCTACTTCTTTATCTACATCAAATGCCGTCTCAAAAGATGCTTTGACAGTATGACCAGTAGTAGTAGATCCTGCCTTGTTTGTTGTTTTAGAGGGTGCAAATAACAAAGCATTTTGAGGGCAACTTGGCATATCATCCATGATCACTCCCACAGCTGTTGCTGCTTCAAAAGCTTCGGCAGCAGCATTTTCTGCTTTTGCGAGTAGGTCTTCGGCTTCCTTGTTGTGAATCCTTTTAAGGGTAAATGAACAGCATGAGAGTGAATAACAGATATAGAGGTTGCATAATTTTGTTAATGCAACCAAAGAGAGTCTTACCTAGCTGCTTTAAGTGTTCGGTACCAAGATGCCTCGACCAATGCAGCCTTTTGAGCCTCCATGACCTTGCTTGCAGCCTCTCTTGCTGCCATTTTTTCTCGGAGCACTCTGCAATAGTGTGGATTTGAATCCTCAAGGGTCTCATCCAGAGTCTGTTTCATCCCATCAACTTCCTGAAACATTGGATATCGTGCATTTTTAACATCTACTTCAACCACAAGTTCTTGCTTCTGGGTTGACAAAAACCACAAGAACAAATGCATACCTGCAGCATTTGAATTTTCCTCTTCAAGTACGAGTCCACTTTCTTGCGAGGAAACCAGTTGAGTGGGCTAGTCTTACGGCGACTAGGCTTCTTAATCTGTGACGTGACTTTGTTTAGAGCATTTGGTGATGACTGGCCACTCCCCCTCGGTGAATTTCTCTGCAAGTCCAGGAAGAAGAGATGATGAAAAGCAGCTTGGAAATAATTGACATCAGGTAATCAAAACCCTAAACAATCATCCATCCAAAGAGGGAAATTTCTCCTAACGCAAGTGAAACTTTGGGAATATGATCATTTTGCTTTGCTACAGAAAAACCTAGAATTCAATCAGACCTCCTTTTCTTGCACACTGTTCCGACGAATTCAGTCGTCAGGACTTGAGAACAGAAGAAAAAATTAAACAACACAGTAGACAGAGAGCAATCGGCGAGTTCTACAGTCCCGATTCATGAGTCCATCGGAGCATAATTGTTCACTAGCAGGCATACGCACCGCTGAAATCCACGAGGAGGGCTAAGGACCTTCCGCCAATTAACATCCGAATTCGATGAGAAAGCGCAATTAACTAGAATAAAGAAAGAGAACGATAAATGGAAACCCTAGCGATGGAAGCAAATCAAGAGAACGATAACATGAGGGGAAAGAAGAAGAGCGTACCTTGCCGAACTTGGAAGCCGAAGAAGTGAGATTCCCGCTAGAATCAGATCCTCCTCCATCTGAACCAGGACTGCTCCGAGCGTCGCCACCGCCGTGCTTGGCCACTTTATCGAGGCAACCTAAGTCCAAGCATCCCAGATCCATTCTTCCGAGGGCGAACAGAACTCTGTCAGTAATCTTGAGATATCCCGAGACGAAGGGGCGAAGTAGATTGAGCTCTTGATTGCAGAAACAAAAAGAAGGGATTCGATTCGGAGAGAAAAGGAGGCGACGATGAGAGGATTGATTTCTTTGTCTGAGGGACGACGAAAGTTTGGGGAGTGAGTATTCTTTGGTTTGAATGGAGAAGTAGCCGTTGGAGCAGGGGAGGGTTTTTGCTGGTGCCTTCTCTCTTTAACGGTCTTTTTTTTTTTTTCTTCCGGATATTCCCTTGCCGGCAACAGGGTTAATGGTTATAGTGTGCGGGAACGCACAACTCACCATGATCTATTGCGATATACAAATCTATTGAGAATCAAATATGATAGAGGATGGTAATTGGTGGCAGACGGTGATTAAGGGTGTTAAATGATGGTGTTATAATATTCATACTATCAAGTATACAATTATTATAGACTATGAAATATCTATACCACCGTGGTTCACTTTCATACTACCATAGCAAAATATTATGTACTACCAAACTTTACCACCATGGTATAGATTGGTGATAACACCACATTCAGACAGGTTTGACCCCTCATTTTTTGATTGTTTAGTTTGGTGTTTATTATAATTTGACTTATTTTATGCTAGGTTGTGTTCTTTTGTCACATTTCAGGTCCTAGCACGTAAAGTGAAGTATAGGCGCAAGTTTCAAGTCAATTGGAGACCAATTGGAGATTCGGGGAAAGAAACTCGGACATGACCTAATGAAGAATGGATTTCTACCTCATTTTATGAACAAAGAATCATGTAAGCTTGTCATTAAAATAAAGAGGATGAGGCTACGAGCGTTTGAGATCAAATGACGACTTATTCGGAGTCCGAACGAGAGAAAACGAAGAATCAAATACAGTGGAACAAGAACTGAGAATTACGCGAGTTGGAAGCTAAATTCCCCGCTAGGCGAATTTAAGGACTAGGTAGGGGAAAGTTACAGAAGCAAATCCCCTATCCAGACACCAAATTACCCAACCGGGGATTCCTAAGTAGACCCAGGGGAATTTCCCACGAGCAACTAAGTGCTATGCAGCGTTTCAGAAATCCCCGGGTTGGAAGGTAAACTCCCCTACAGGGGAATTTGATGTCCAAAGAGGGGAATGTGAGGGGAATTTCTAGGTGCGGGTATAAATGCATTTTTGCGAGTTCTAAAGGGGAGAGCTGAGTTTTGGACACCAAACACCCAAGGGACGAACCATAGAGTGAGAGAGTGATTTGAGGGCGATCTTGGAGCAGAATTGGAGGATTTCTTCACCTTGAAAGCTCGAGGAACAAGCTTAGACAAGAAGATTGAAGATTCAGAAAGTTATATTGTATTCTCTCTTCTCTATGGAGTAACTTCTCTTCACTTAGGTTTTGAGGAATCCTAGATTTGTATGCTATGAAGAGTTGTATGAACTCAAATTCATGATTGATTGACATTTTATATTCAGTTGAGTTTTTTTCCAGAATTGCTTGAATCCTAATCACATTCCTACGGTTTCAGCTTTTACTTAGAACGATAGTATCTACATAGGATAATAGAGCAACCTGAATTGGAAGTAGTGAGTTGATTGTTTGAGAGTCAATCGATCCACTGCTCTGTACTCGAGTAAAAACCTAGTAGAAGAAGTTTGAATCTTATTGTCTTGGTTAGGTTATTCCAGTGGAGGTTAGTCGCCCGCTGGGTAATCTATTTAAGATGGTCTGAAACATTTTAGTTGTGTACGTGTATATAAATACTATTGATCAAGTGAATATTGATGTTGTTATCCCCTAAAGTTACATGTATAATTTGATTCAAGTTTTGATAGGTAGATCTCTAAAATGTTTTTATAAGTTAAAACTTGTGCTTTAGTGGATACAAAAAAGAGTTGTTCAGTCATCATAGAATATATGATCTCTTATCCATTTTGTTGCCACCCATTTCTCCCCCTTAATGACCGGGCAGCTTCCATGAAGAGACATCTGCAAGGAGGAAAATGTATATGATTAATATCAATAACTTATTTTCGAGTTCAAGAAAGACGACATCAAGAAAATAATAAAAAGATTGTTGAAGTTGTGTATTTTGGTCACATCAACTTCGTATTCTTCTATGTCTATTATGAGTTCGCGAATCAGGTTAGAGATCAAATTTGAAGGTGTAGGTTGTGACCAAAGAAAATTACCTTATCAATTGTTCCATTAGGCAAGACGGAGTAGAATAGAAGGCCATCACCTTGTCGAGGCTTCACTTTTAGACCAACACATTGTTTGTAATCATAACCAGGAACTTTCAATCCATCCTACAGAGAGAAGATCTAAATCGTCAACAACGAACAAGCAATAGTGAATATAAAATACTGAGGAGATTTTGGGGGTCGTCATAAATCGAAATTTCTGTACCTCATAAGGGAACATTGTCTCGCCACCCTCTTCCACGTTTGTTAAATACAACAAAAATGAAGCTATCTGCAGTTCCACAGATTTTTAACATTAGATTATCATTTTTTGTAATGAACACAATTGAGCTAAAAAAAAAACTCCAACATAACATGATATTGACTTCTCACATAAACATAAAATTATAGCTACTCAAGTTCAAAGTTCTTAGTGATGAAGATAATTTCTCTCCCATATTCTCTCCTCCCCAAATCTATTAATCTGATAATGGATGTCTTCTCATATTTTCCCTTTATTATAATGATCTCAACAAAAATCTTAAACAAATAAACAAAAATATAAATCCGAGGGTTTAAAAAGGCGCGCTTACATTTGTGTTTAGGCACTAGACAGCGCAAAGACGTCTTATTTAGAGGTTTTGCGGAAAGTTAGATATCGAAAGTACGACGACAAATTAAGGAGACACCTAGATGTAATTATGTGCAGCTAGACAGTCTATATCAAAGGGGGAAATTAACATCATTTGCAAACCCAATCTTCTTTCTTAATATATTTTCATTAAATCTCAAAAATTACTGTAAGCTATTGAGATATGATTCCATAAACTTCTGAACTAATTTTCTTGCTGTTATGTTGTTAAGTAACTTACAATCATTTAAAAATTCAAGTTCCTCAAAACCTGCCTAGCGCATCGCGTCTCCTCGAACTTTGCTCACAATTAGTGGTATTGGTAACAAGAATAGTTTAATCTATAAGTAAGAAATAATTTTTTAGTCATTAAAAACGATTTAAGTAGTATTGGTTTTCATGGTGATCATCAACTAGCTTAGCTAGCCAAATCCTATTCACACCGTAAATTAAATAGTTACGAGAGGATACACCCGTAATTACCCTTTGGCTTTGTTGTGGGCCATACTCTGCTGGGTTGAATGCATCGTAGTGGGAATCATACTTCTGCCCGATTTCATACCGCAACACGTTGAAGGCCTACAACATCATCATGGTACAAAATGTTCAAACTTTACAAATTTCAGGTTCGTTTGCTTCATGGATTTAAAAATGAGGGTTTTGTAATTTAAAAATCTAAGGATTTATCAAGGATTTGAGGCATCATGGATTTGTAACAATCCTTTGTTTGTTGGGATGTTTTTATCATGGATTTAAAGGTGTGAGATTTACTACTTGAAGTCAAAAATTATATTACTGCCCTTTTTTATATGTTTGACATGTTTATGATATGTACACAAAACAAGGACAAAACTTCAAAATTACCTTACTATCATTTTCTATATGTTTGACATGTTTATGATATGTACACAAAACAAGGACAATACATACTAATAAGCATAATGTTGCCACATGGACAATAATAATAAACGAAAAAATTCCGTTTTAACTTCTAACGTAACATAATCAATTACCAATTCTTTGTCCCCCTTTTCAAAAGTAACATATAACAACATATATTAGAATCGGGAGAACAAAGAATTACACGTTCCATGAAAAGGTCAAAGAAAACTAGAACACAAGAAATGATATAAAAAATCTAACTCATGTTTGCACATTAATTGAACGTTTATATTATTCATTTATTGTTAATTATAATGTATAATAGTTAAATTTGAGGGCAACCTTGGAATATTAAAAGTGCATGAGGGTATATGGGTGAAATCTCATCAAGGATTTATGGCATATTCCAAATCCCACATCAACATGTGGGATTTATAAGTCCGTGGGGTCCACGGATTTGGACCCTTAAAATCCGTGGGGCCCACGGATTTGGTCTCCAAAAAAGGTGCAAGCAAACATCGAATTGTACCTAAATCCTTGATAGTTGGTTTTTTGGTACCAAATCCTTGAAGCAAACGAACCCTCAATTACTTCAAAGTAATAACAAGGTAAGAAAACTAGATACAGATTTTTACCTCTCCATGCGACCGTGGAATCATGGTAGCTCTTGATATTTTTTGTTCAATCAACTCGAGCGTCCCACTGTCGTCTTCTGCTGCACTAACGAATGTGCCTGAACTGTTGTACCAAACCCATTGGCTCGTCAAAAAAACAAAGTAAAAAGAAAGTAAAAAGAAGTGAATAAAGAAACTGAGAATATAAAGAAACCTTGTCCTAGTCCCCTGAGTACTCTCAGCGCTCTCGCCCTCCCTCAAGGCAAGCAGAGATGGCTTGAGCTGCGTCTTCGTCATTGCAATGATGGCATTGCATTGCTCTGGTGTTGCGAACTTGGGGAAGTACAGGGCCCTCGGCTTCCAGCTCAAGATCTACATTTCACACACATCAATGTCAAAAGCTTCTGCACTAGTTAAAAAGTAAAATGTTGGTCACTATGTTTCGCCGATTTAATCATCGGTGGGCTCTGATCTGTGAGCGGTTCACGACTAACCATCCTTCTGTTTATACGAAGAACCCCTTCGACATGTATAACGTTTAGCTGAGTAAACTTTTTTGAAATTGTGGAACCTTCAGGTTAAAGAAGACCGTCCGGGTTTGCGTATTGTAAGGAAGTGGTTGTGAATATCATACATGGACCCTTCTCAACGATCAGAGTTATTGAGACCAGTTGGTTCATGACATGGTATCATAGCTGGTTTGACCAAGTGGCCGTGTGTTAAAATTTTCACGACTTCCAAGACCAAGCAGTTGATTGAAACACTCCCCCGTCATGCCATGTGCTTAAATCAATGGTTAATAGGAGGGGTCGTGAAGATTTGAACACATGAGCTCAATGACAAATCAGCTTTAATATACCATATATCAAGAACCAATTAGTCCCTCAATAATTCGATTTGTTGGGGGAAGATTAATTATGGATCATATATATATACCAA